GTCCCTGCACTGCAAAACAGATAAAACCCCAAGCGCGTCCCTCCAGAAGGCCCCGTATCCAAAGGCAGGGGATTACGCTGAACAAGCTGCTTTAGCGAGACGGGGCAGCTGCCGCACGCAGTTAAACCACTCCTGACCGGTTCTTAGTCCAGCCCGAGCGCTCACTGCTCTGCTTCCCACCTCCCCGGGACCAGATGGAGAGCACCAGCCTGCGGCCGCAAGCCCTTGCAGGCACAGCCCGCTCCACTGCAGTGCATCCTCGCCTGCCAGAGCTGCGAGGCCCCAGGCAGGGCTGCAGTTCAGACCTACCCAGGAGACGCACCGCTACAGTTCCTCCTCTTTGTCACAGCCTTCGTCGCTCTAAACCTCTGGTGAGTCTGGCAACAGCAGTCCAGGGCTGCGATCCCCCTGCAGCCAGCAGAGGGGCATCTCTTGGTTACAGACGCACAAGCCAAAAAACATGAACCTCCTGTTACTGCCACACCGCAGCTGTCACGTACAGGGGCTGCTGCAGTCCTGAAATACAGAGCCTGGAGCTGAGCCCAGTACTTCCTCGAGGCAGCTGACGTGAAGTAGACGCTGTGGTTCCTGAGCTGAGCCTAGAAGAACCTTTACATCTGGACTTCCAGAATCTGAAGAGACAGAGCCGCAGTGGGCTCCTGCGGGCCGAAGGGCAGCAACCACCAGGCAGTACTGAAGCCGGGCTGCAGCCACGCAGACTGAAACAGTCAAACCGCTGCAAACACGCTCCTTCAGTATTTTATTTTTATTGAAGCAAAATATCAGAGGACAAAGAGGTCCTGCCTGTTGCATGGGTCTATCACATGCGCTGGCTAGACCATGTACATAAAAACAGTGGGTACACTTACCTAATTCTGACCACTTTCTTACAAAAAAAAATGCTTTCCTGAGGCTTCACAAGGGGTTGGTAGGCAACCCTCTCAAGGTCACTTACCAGTGTTTAATCACCCTGTTCCCCTCCGAATCCTGCGTGAACAGTAAATCATAGCACACGTCTAACTGCTGCTCCCACGGTGCGCTCAGGCTTGCAGCATCGCTGGGACAGCCCTCGCGGGGAGAGC